TAAGATACACTGGTGTCTATTTTCTCCATGAAGTGTGAGGTGACACCAGTGAAGGGTGAAGGAGGAGAGAGGAGAAGATGTCAAATAGTTGTCTCCGAGGGTAGAAAAGTGACTTCACTGTGGAAATAGATTAAAAGTGTCTTATATGGTTAGATGCTCATCTGAGATTCATGAGCATACGCTTGTTGGCATGAGCCCGATTAGCGGTAGGTTGCGTGACATTCTTCAGCAATGCTCAGCTGTTCAGGCACAGGTACAGAGTACAAGGATAGTTTGCAAGACTAGAAGAAACAAGTGGTAACTGTGAAAGCTGAAAAAAGAAGAGCTTCCAGTTTCGGCAGGCCCCAGAAACTACAATTGGCCCATATTTTAGGTCAACTGCTGGCTATATCCTAGATCCAGACATTTTTCCACTGGAGAAGGAAGGAAGACAGAGAATACCTCCATTGGGGGCAAGACCCTGGAGAGAACAGAATCCGGTCAGAGTTCCTGAGGACTTTTTACAACTACACTTGCTCACTCTCCAGTGATGCCAAACACCAGCACCCCAGGGGGGTTATGGGTACAAAATGGAGAATTCCTGTTTTAGTGAATATTATTATTGAAAGAAATGAATCAAATCCCTCACACTGATAAGATGAAAAAACAAATGGTGAGTAACTGGCATAGTTCATAAGTACCTAGAAGATAAAAACAAAAGTAATCATGGTCATCATGAGGACACAACATGGGCGCAGTACAAAAAGTTGGGCCAAATCTCTCACTTCCTTTTCGTGAGTATATGGAAAGACTAGTAGATAAGGTCAGGTCTGCCTGGCATGTATGGCTGAAAGATCTAGGAACAAAGAATTTGAAGGTCCTGGTGAAAAGACTGGAGAGAGGGGCCCAGGGCACTTAGCCAGCTGGAGGAGGAAAAGGCGATGCGGAGGCTGATGGACTGAGATAATGGGGGAAGAAGTGAGACAAGCAACAAAAATCTTGTTCGATAAATCAAAACAAGGGTGACCTGGGCGGGTTAGGGATTGTGGTCATAAAGTAGTATGACAGTTATTCATGTAGGTTTCCTGGAGAGAAATGAGATGCTTCTGACAATTACCAGCTATGTGCCAGCCTAAAAAGTTCATCCTCACATCTTTCAGAAGTGGAAGAAAGCAGGAAAATTGCTTGTTAAATGACCCCTGAAAGGCAAAGTCTTCCTTCCTTACAACTGTTGAAGTTGAATTGTTATTAGGGCATATGGAACTTGGTCTGATCAGCTTAGTATCTCACGTTTTTAATTTTCATTTGGGATTTTTAAATACGTCTCTATGGAAGAGCAAAATAAATGTGTGGTTTTTCCACCAATATAATTAAAAGAGACAGGCTTGAGAAGACCTACAGATGGGTCACACTGGGCTTTGCCAAAGTATGGGATCAGGATAAGAAGACAATCCCATTAATTGCAGCAATTGATGGCTCCAAGAGAGAGTATGGCTTACAATTAGAAGTTCTCAAAAACTTGCAAGGCCACTGGAGAGACTGTAAAATAGAATCAGAGTTATTAGCACACATTCAAACAAAGACATGTTTGAAGTTGGGTGATTTCTAGTTTCTTATGGATAAGCCAGGCCCCTCTTGACAATTCTGTTTAGTGTTCCATAAAATTTCACCAAGGCTTTTGCTATCTTATCCATTTCCTTAATTATAAACACATATTTCTTCTTTATTGCAAGGCTTCTTAACTTCACAGATCTGTCCATGAAAGAGGAAACTTGGACACCACATATGGAAATGACGTATGAACCTGGATTAACTAGCACGCGAAGAATGTGTTTCCCTTAAAAAACTGTTGAATTCATTTAGGTAATTATCTTTTGATGAACGTACTCTTGCTAGTCTAATCTGCTTATCATGGAGTTATAAATCAGAACTGGAAAAGACATCTGGAAACATCTGGCCTCTTCTGAAGCAATAACACTGCAGTGTATTTCCTGACCTACTACATAGACTCTTCAAATCATTTGGGGTCTTACACATTCAATGATCTCAAGAGGAGGTACTAGTTTGATGTTTTATATTTTGTTTCCCCCCAAAAAAGCAATCAAATAACTGGATATACACACTTCCATTTTATAATCACTTATCACATTACATTCTAATTATTTGTTTATATGTTGGAGTCTTCATTAGGTTAGCACTCCAAGGAAGGAAATGTGAATTCATCTTTGTAACCCCCGTGTGGAACTAAATATACGTGCCAGGGCTCAGTCTTGTAGAAAGGAGAGCACCAGTGGGTGAGCAGCTCTGTATAAGAAGGACGCTGCAGTCTGGTCAAAACTGTAGCAAATGGGGACTTACCTGAACTTCCATCAGCTGGAGAATATTAGAAAAAGTTATGGTAAATCTGTGCTATAGACTACCATTTAGCTTTGGAGAAAAATGGGTTAGAGTTATATCAGTTGATCTGGAGGGATGTCTGTGATATCCTGCTACATGAAAAAGTCACCTTACAAGCCCTGGCCGGTTTTGCTCAGCGGTTAGAGCGTCGGCTTGCGGACCAGAGAGTCCCAGGTTCGGTTCTCGCTAAGGGCACGTACCTTGATTACAGTTTGTCCCCTGCCTTGGTTGGGGTCTTGTGGGTGGCGACCACTCGATGTGGCTCTCTCGCATCAATGTTTCTCTCTCTCTCTCTCTTCCTCCCTCTCTCCCTTCTGCTCTATCTGAAGATAAATGCAAAAATGTCCTCAGGTGAGGATTCAAAAAAAAAAAAAAAAAAGCCACCTTACAAACAAAAGTGTAGAGTGATTCCAAATTGTAAAAGGAAAAAATGACACCTTGGGGAAAATGTGTTTGTTATAGCTGTGGGGGAACATTCGCCAGGGTATAACCGGGGGTACCGTGAGGAGGATGAGAAAGTAAAGGACAAAAAGTAGAGGAGATAAAAACAGGGCTAGCAAAAGACAACAAGCCCATGCCATAATGCTAAGGGAAAAGGTAGAATGCATGATTTTAGTAACAATATTTTTTTAAAAGATGACCTTTATCAATGTTTCAGTTATTGATACCAAGCATGACTCGCAGGGCTCTCTGTGGGCTCATTAATGCCTGCACAACCCTGTAAGGTAGGGAGTGTTATTTCCCTCATTTCACAGACGAGGAAAATGTGGCCCAGAGAAGTGAATGAATTGATCCATGGTCACACAGTAAGTGGCAAAGCTGAGAAAAAACAAACAAACAAACAATAGGCAATTAGGCCAAAAAAAAGAAAGAAATTGCATTTTTTTCCCCCTAGATATTAACCTGGTCAAATGAAAATAATCAATCAGGTGATAGAACTGTGAGGTATTTTGTTTGAAATTTTTGCTATTATTTACTAGGAATTTTAAATAAAGTAAAATTATTAAAAATAAAGTGAGTAAAATTGGTGGTAGGGCAGTTATTTGTTAAATGTCCTCATCTCCTTGGACACTCTTCCCTGCAGAGAAGAGTCCTGTGTCTTCCCTTTGGGCCTGCGAGGGGCTTGGAAGGCTCAGACCAGCCGCCCTGCAGAAGCAATGCTGTGTGTCTTTGGAGACTGGGTCACAAAAGGACCTCCTCTTGGCTCCTGTCCTGAGAGGCTCACTCTGCGGGATGCCCGTCACCACGCTGAATCCCATGTGGAGAGGAACTAAGGCCCCAGCCGACAGCGGCACTGACTGCAGACTGGAGATGGTCACTGCCCTGCCTTAGAACCTTCCGGCTGATGCCCGAACTTGGCTGAGCAGAGACGAACAGCACCAGCTATGTTCTTCCAGGCGTCTGACCCCCAGGATCTTCTGTGAGCATAATCACTATGTAGGGGGCTTTTTCTTTGTTGTTGTTATTGTTTGGTTTTCTTGCTCTTCACTTGCATAACAGATAGTTGGAACACACGAGAACCTTCTGCAGTGACGGTTGTCAAGTTGGGGCAGGTATCCCCTTGGCCTTACTTTTCTGCTCCCTTTAGGCATACTGTCGTGGTTATGTGCTAATGTGGCTGGGCGACAGTGCCAAAATATTTGGTCAAACATTATTCTGTGAAGGTGTATTTGGGTAAAATTCACATTTAATCTGGACTTTGAGTAAAACAGATTACCCTCCATAATGCAGATGGGCCTTGTTCACTAAATGGGAGACCTTAAAAAAAAGTTGGACCACCCTGGCCAGGGTGGCTCAGCCGTTAGAGCATCGGCCTGCGGTCCAGAGAGACTCGGGTTCAGTTCCCACTAAGGGCACGTACCTCGGTTGTCCCCGGTCCTGGTTGGGTTGTGCGGGTGGCAACCACTCAATGTGTCCCCTTCACGTCAATGCTTCTCTCTCTCTCTCCCTCCCACTCTATCTGAACAAAATATGGAAAAATGTCCTCGGGTGAGGATAAAAAAAAAAAAGCCGGACTCCCCGGAGCCGGAAGGAATTCAGCTAGCCAACTGCCTTGGACTTGAACTGCACTTCTACCCCATCTTCCCGCCAACCCCATTAGATTCTGGACTCGGCGAGCCTCCACAATCACCTGAGCCAATTTCTTAAACTACATCTCTCTTTCTCATTGGTCCGTTTCTCTGAAGAAGTCTGATTAATCCACATATTGTACCTTGAACTCTGCTTCCCAGATTCCTTGCCTGTGCCTCCAGCACCCTAACTTCAGGGCAGTACACCTTGAATAAATCACCTGGTTTAACTTCACATGTATGTGATGTACTGGAAAGGGCCAGAAGAGATGCTAATGCTGCTGGAGAGTCAATCTGCTAAACTTCTTCCTACTCCTCCTTCTTGAGGACATACATTATGTAAGCAGGGACGTAAATCATAAGCAAGATACATCCATCACCAATAGATGAGCAGCACAGATGCAGGCTGACAGCACCTGGGTAGAAAACTCTAAGCGGAGAAAGACCTGCACGTAGCTCAGTGGTGGCTTTTGCACTGACGTGGTTTCACCAAAGAATGCCCAAGTGGCAACATGGACAGATCTGGCAAAGCAAAAAAGAAAAGGCGCAGCTTACCCCTCGAAGCAGTGGGCGACTGTCAGAACCCACTTCTTGGCAATGAGGACACAGCCACAGATGTGCCCGCTGGGCTCACTCTGCAGGGAACACTGCCAGGGCCACCTTCCCGGGCGACTCGTCCGGCCCCCGAGGATCCTCTTGTTCATTCGGGCAGCAGGGCGGCGTCCGCAGTCTACCGAGGAGCAGGAAAGGCATGTGTGACTCACCCCCAAACCCAACTGGATGCTTGGCTCTTTGCTGTCACTGCAAGTCATCATTTCCCCCTGAGCCAGCCCGTTAAATGAAGTTCATAGCCCATCGGGACTCCATTCATCTCACCTTGTTTAATACACAGGAGAGAAATCTTACTTCCACTGCGACAAGACTGCCTGGATTTGGAAACATAGAATAGTATTATATTCAGTTACATATTCATTGTTCACTTCAAACACTGCCAGTGGATTGACTCTGAGGTCAGTGCTCAAGGCAGGGCTGTTGGCAGAAGCGCCCCGGGGATGGGGTACAGAGAGAATGTGTACTTTTTTTTTAAGTTTATTTAATATCATCATAATGTAATTCCACATTTGTGAGAAGAGCAGCTATTGTTACCCAAGTTCCCCACATCAGGTTGGCTGGTGGGAGCACCCAAAATACTAACTCAAACCATGATTTTCCAAGTAGGGAGAAGAAAGGGGAGGGGATTGGGCTGCTGCTTAGAACCTACAATGAGGGATCGTGTCAGATTTCTAGGCTCATGGAGAGTCATGTACGTCCAATAAAAGGTGCGAAGTAGTTTGAAAGAAATAAAATACTACTTTTAAAAGTTAGAAAATGAATAAAGAAATGGAATCTTTAAATCGAAAAAGAATCTTGCCCAGACTTTTTATATTAAAATATGGATCTCTGATTGGCTGACAAGAAGAGGAGGATTAATTTTATTTCATGTAAATAGTTGTCAGGGTCAGGACGAATAGGTAGAATTTATGGAAGGTGTGGGTTCAGAAAAGGAAGAACTTTCTAAACCTTTGAAAGCAAGAACACAGGCCATGTCGCCATGTCTAAGCATCTATCAATGTGGCTGCACTGGAGAATTCAGTTTAGGGACGTTAGGTTGTGACCACAAAGCTCTTTTCCAACCATGAAGCATGTGTTCACAGTGTAAACAGAAAAGACCAAAAATATCTGAGAGCTGTCAAATATACTGTGATGTGCTTAGAGTCCTAAACCTCTCAGAAAAAAACACACATACACACACACACACACACACACACACATTCATACACAGACACAAACATCCCTACATGTCATTTCTAAATTTCTTTTCCTTTTGAAGATTTACTGTAGTTTTATTTCTTGCTGAATTTGCATGGGGATCTGTGTAATTATTTGTAGATAACAAATTATATAACACAAAAAAGGCACATTTGCTTTTTGTCTTCCCACAACCTGAGGTCCTATCTCCTCCTTTCTCTCTCTCTCCCCCCTTAATTTCTTTGCAGTACTTCTGAATGTCTGAAATTCTCTTTGCTCACTAGCTTATAGTCCCTCTGCCCACCTATACAATGTATGCTCCTTGAGGCCAGGGTCCTTGTCCCCCTAATTCACTTCTATGTCCCCTTAGAGTTTAGCACTAACCTGGACGGAAGAGATACTCAATAATTAGTTGTTATTTATTAGATCCAAAATCATAGGTTGTAGGGATAAGAAACACACCAACCACTATTTATCTCAGCTATTCATTTAATAGGAAATTGTGGTTATATAAGATTACTTATCTAACTAATAAGCCAGGACTAGCGCCATTTCTACCAACTCCCAATTTAGAATGAGATATTTTATTTATTGATTTGACCTCAGAGGCCTTCTCTGGCATTCCCAGTTTGGGGAAACAAATCACTCTGTTGAAAGATTCAGGTCATTGTTCTGCTTGAAGTACTGCAGTTGACAAATATTCAGAAATTTGGCTGCAGAGTTTGGTCTATGGGGAAATGTCAAGACAGTCTAAAGAAAAATGGCCCGCCTTTGGTCTCTTCTTTGGAATTCTTAAGAGGTGGCTTTTCTAGGACTTATTCAAAGCTTTGGGGTCAGATAAACCTGGTTTGAGTTGAAAGGCTATCCCTTACCATCTGTAGGTGGTGAGTTTTGAGTAAGTTAATTATGTATTCTATAGCTATGCCCCTATAACATGCTAAACTCTAAATAAGCATTCATTCCCTCCATTTGTCTTTCTCTTATAGATTAGATAAGGGAGGCGGCCCTGTTTAAGATGCCACCATTTTTAGAGGAAATTGTCCACACGTGTACTCTCAAGGTTACTTGATGCTAATTCCATTCCATGTCATTTTTTTCTCTCAGACTCTCCAAGTTTTGTCAGTTTTTATTACTTCAATTCCCTCTGTTAACTAGTTACACATAGCCTCAGTAGGAAGTGCAAACATGAGAATTTATTGCAAGTAGGAAGTAAAAAAAAACCTCCAAGATAGAATGCAAGTTCTTCCTCCTTCACCATGATAGATTCTATAATCATCATTAAAGAAAAACATCATTAGCCAAGAGAAAAGAAAAATCTGTCTAGATAGAAAAAATAAAGCCAAATGGTATTGAAATATAAAGGCCAGTAGCCATTCTATGGAAGCTCTTTATTGATGTGACAAATTTGAGTTATCGCAAGTTAGAAGAAGGGCCCTGGTGACAGACTTTCGCTCCGTAATGCACCCTACACAGCTCTTGTGAAGGTGTCTTACCCTTTCACCAGCAGTTCATGCAAAGTGGTCCCATTGCGGCTCTCCCAGTCGGAGTGTAACGTCAGCCACTGCTGGTCTTGCTCTTGCTCCTGTATTAATTCGGTCACAGATGGTTCCCTGATAGAAAGGTAAATACCAGTTAAACAGTCCAAGCCCAATGATCTTGGACCAGGCAATATCATTATTTGGTACTAATCCTCTTTTTTTTAAAAAAGCATTAAATTATAAATCAATATTTCAAGAGGGGGATTTGTATTTGAAATTTGGCATAAAATGTGATCAGCAAGAAGGGAGGTTACTAAAAGTATACTGAACCAAAAAATAAAATCCAAATTATTACAGCTGGTTGAGTCATTCCGGCTGCTGACATGTGTTTGAACTTTTGTGAGGTGTTAGAATTCTAACGTATATGATGTAAAAATTTCAATATCTAAAAATCAAAAGCAACTTTAAGCAGGGGTCATACATAAAATAAAATTTATCTGGCTGGAGGTTTGTTTGTTTTTTCCTCTTTTTTTCCCCAATGTTATCCTGCAATGTGGCAATACCTTTAAATAAAAATAAATAATAACTAAAGAGAATAAATGGTCATTTAGTGTCTACTTAGATAGTATAAAATTGTAAGTGGAATTTTTTCAACACACTGCAAAACCTTTATGCACTAAAAACGAGGAAGGACCCTGGAAGACAGAGACAAGTGTTAGACAACGTTACTTTGCTCTTGACCTACATTCTCACCCAACTTCCACCAACACTTTCCTGTGAATGTCTCATTCAATCATTCAAATAAATATGGTTATATATCCAAAATTTAAAACCTTAGGTTTCAAAAGTATTTAGGTTTAAACCCCAGAGGAGGGGGACAGGGGTAGGGATGAGATAAACCAAAGAGCTAATATGCACATATGTGTAACCAATGGACATAAACAACAATACTGGGGGCGGGAGGAGGACGGGGTCAGGAGGAGGGTGTCTGGCGGGGGTGGGGGGGGACATCTGTAACAACAATAAATTAATAAAAATTGCAAAAAAAAATTCATGAAAAAAAAACTGTTTAGGTTTTTGTATAAAATATCCTATTCTTTTTTTTTGTTTTTTTGTTTTTATCCTCACCCGAGGACATTTTTTGATATTTTGTTCAGATAGAGTGGGAGGGGGAGAGAAAGAGAGAGAGACAAACATCGACGTGAAAGGGACACATCGAGTGGTCGCCACCCACATGACCCAACCAGGGCCGGGGACAAACTGCAACCGAGGTATGTGCCCTTAGCGGGAACCGAACCCGGGTCTCTCCAGACTGCGGGCCGACACTCTAACCGCTGAGCCAAACTGGCCAGGGCTAAAATATCCTATTCTTCACGAAACAGTTGGTTTATTTAGGCAAACCATATGGGAAGAAAATCTTTTGGAATTTTATCACCTGATAGGGAAAAGGGTAGAAGAGGTAGAGGAATTAGTTTTACACAGGAGAAAGGAGCGGGATTCCTCTGCATCTGGAAGATGGTAGAAGAAAAGGGAGCAGGAACTGTGTTGGCACTGAAGAAGGAGAGAAAATTCAAGTCAGGTAGTCAAGTCGGAGGTGAGCTCCTCCAATGAGGAGGAAAGTGATGTGTATATGGAATTGTTCCCTGGTGGTATTTTTTGGAGACACATCAAAGATAACTTAGAAGAACGACGAGCAGCATTCAAGGCTCAGAGGACCCGGACACCTTGAAGCTGTGGCAGAATCAAGGCTGCATGCTTAGTGACTTTCATTTTTAATAAAATAATACCTCCCCCCCCCCAAAAAAAAAGGGAAGGAGGGTACAGGAAAGAAAAAAATGTTAGATTCAGTGGCAGTGAAAGAAACATGATCATTTTTCCCAATTATTAATTATTTAAAAACTGCTGTAATTACATAACAAAAATAAAAAGAACAAAAATCTCACCAAATCCTATTACTTTTAAAAAGGAAAAAAAAAAAAAACTCTCTAAACAGAACACTTGATGATAGAATAAGAGCCAAAGATTAAAAATCAAAGAGTCCTTCATAATGGATGAATTCTCATCGTTTGAGCTGAGAACAAATGGCACAAACCCTGACCACACTTTCAAAAAGAGTTGCACAAGATTTACATTTATTTGGAAACTTGGATGAACTGTCAGAGTATTAACGACTTCACAGAACCTACTGTACAACGAGAATTTTTCTTTTCCTTGAGCAGAATGAGAGCCTGGCTTTCTATGAGCCCGAAGTGCTGAGGGTGGAGGCACAGGGGGAGGGGAGGATGAAGTCCAGGCACACGGACGCCCGTGGTGTTTCTCTTGACACCAGCATCCTGAGAATTCCTTTCTGCAATAGAACAGCAGTGGCCTCCTAAATCCAGGCATTTTGCTGGCGAAAAGACAAAGGAAGACTTGCTTAATCAAGTCATTCTGTAGGCAGGTATTCATAGGGCCACAGGGACATACGCAAGGACACTGCAGCATAGGATTCACACTGATGCTGGGTAGAAAAATCCCAGCGAAGGACGCGTCCGTCTTTCAACCCAGAAGCGCCTCCAGCTGCCCCAGGAAGGGCTCCACTGAGCACTGCACACCAGATGTTTCTACCTTTTATTCTTTAGCCTCCAGCAAGAAAGGCAATTTAGCTTGAATCTCTTAGTTACACGAAGTGGAAAAATCTAAGAAATTCATCATCAAGCAGAGGGGAGAATAATTATAAAAATCAGTTTCCCATGAAATCTTTAAATACTAGCATGCTTCTCGTGCACAAAAATAAATCTTTTGGCTCTACAATGTCATCCTATTGCCCATTAAAAATATATCAGTGAATCCATATGGTTCTATTTCTGCCATCATACAGAATCAGAGCATCTGTGTGATTTTAATTTTTCTTTAATTTTTAAATTATAAAAGTGATATTTATGCATGGAAACAATACACAATGAAAAAGTGGTCTTCCCATCCCAGATGTACAGAGACAACCACTGGAGAGAGTGTTTGAGTCTCCTTGTCAAGCCTTTTCTATAATTCATGTATATATACTTCTCTATTTTTAGTCTCTACACATTGTTCTGTGTGGTGTTGAAGATGTTTTCATTTAATGATTCACCCTGGAAGTCTTTCCCTATTAATAATATTTGTTAACTATTGTCTGTATGCCAAACATAAAAGACTAACTCATTTTATCTTATTGAATCTACTCAACAACTTTGTAAAGTTTGCTTCGTTATTATTCCCCATTTTGAAGATGATGGAAAAATTGAGGCAAAGAGAGAATAAGTAACTTGCCCAAGGTCACACAGCAGGTAAATGGAGAAGCTGGTATTTGAATCCCTGCGGTCTGATGTCAGGTTACCACCCCGAACACTGAACACTACGTGGCCCACCTCCGCTAACAGCACAGGCCATGTTCTTTGTGTCGCTTCATAGCATTCCCTTCAGGGGTGGGGACTGTCCAGCCTGCGGGCCAAATAAGGCCCTCAAAATCAATACCAGCTAACATCACACACAGCACCAAATTAGCCTGACCAAATATAGCAAGCTAATTTTTAAGTTGATAATTTTGCATGGCCCAAAATTGATGTTATAAATATCCAAATGGCCCTTGGCAGAAAAAAGGTTCCCCACTCCATCAGTGTATACCTGATATGTGTATATTATTTAGCCAATCCACTACCAATGCACATGTAGGCTGCTTCCAATTTGGGGCTATCCTAACAAAAAAGCAGCAGCTAACACCCTTGACCACTCACCTTTGCCTATAGGCACTAGTATGATTTTAGAATAAATTCCTAGAAATAAAATGATTGAATCCAAGTTTAAATTTTTGATTAACAGTATGTTTTTACCCTTCAAAGAGTAATGCTGATTTACATAGTCATGAAGTATATGTGTGTTTGTACTTTTTAATTTTTGTTACATTGTCTAAAATATAAGTCATGCTATCAAAAAGTATCTGGAACTAAAATGCTCCTCAAATTTTGTTTGGCAATTGGTCATTCATTTGACTTAACATCATTTTCTATATTACATCAAGAGACAAATTTTAAAAATCCTGTTGGGTAGAGAGCAAAAATATTTTGCCAGTGATTAAGCATCAGAGTCACTGTATCTGAAGAGAGTCTGTGCAGGGCATGCGGTCAGACGCAAATGTTTCTATAGTAGCCATGAACTCATGAAGGACATTTAAGCAGCAATTTAATCCAATGCCCTCAATCAACAGCCTGAGAAAAGTGGGACACAGATATGGATCCATCTAGAACATTTGTGGGGCCTAGAGCATGAATATAAATGGAGGCCCACATACCATATGTCTACGTATTTAGATGCTACAAATCAAGTTAACAAGCCATTAAATAACAAGTATTCTATCTTCCCATCTTGACAAACATATTTCTCTAAGCTTATAGATTTCTTAGACTCCTTGGAGCAGTGGTTTTCGAACCTTAGCATTCATCAGAATTGCCTGAAAGGACTGTTAAAACGAAGATTGCTGGCCCATTCCCAAGTTTCCTGACTCAGTAATCTGAGATGGAGCCCAGAAAGTTGCCTTTCGAACAAGACTCCAGGTGCTGCGACTACACTTTGAAAACATTGCTCTAGAACAGGAAGCAGGCTCTGGGTGGGCGTGATCCTTGGCTGACAGATTGAACCCATGGGGTAGAGCCTGGCTAGAGGAGGGAGGCCAGAGTGGTCCCTCTACATCGGGGTTTCTCGCCCTTGGCACTACTGACAATCTGGTCCAGATCACCATTGCTACGTGGGGCTGTCCTGTGCACTGTAGGATGTTTAGCGCTATCCCTGGCTTCTACCCACTAGATGCCAGTAGCACCCACCACTTCAAAACAATCAAAAACATCTACAGACTTCTCCAAATGCTCTCTGGGGGCAGGGTCACCCTGGTTGAGAACCACTGCTCCAAATCATGGGGTCCAGGGAAAGGCCCCTCTACTCTGGATCTAACGGTGGTCCTGCAGAGAGGCAGACGGATTGCACTCACATTTGCTTCTTGAGTTATGTGGTCAAAGACACATATAAAACATGTATAATCCCCACACACACTAAAATGAGGAGATAGAACTTATCCAGAATTCTGAAACCTCCTGATACTACAAAAGGAATTGCTATTTCAA